CATTGCATTCTCTAATGTTTAAATGAATTATACATGTTATTTTTTAGCAAAACCATAGCTCATAGTATCAATTTAATTGCAATTGTTTAATATTTTGACATTACTACAGAATGAGGAGTTTTTTCGTTATTTGAAACTTTACTTGAAGAGTTTTTACATTAATTTTTTAGTTGAGGGGTTTTTTCATTAAATTTTTCTAGTTGAAGGGTTTTAACATTAGTAATTTAGTTGAGATGTTTAAAATAGATCAAACATGAGTGTTTTTTCATTATAAACCCTATAAACAACTATTTCCTTATTTCTAAAAGGAATTATTGATTCGGCGAGGCAAAACAATAGGAAATGTTTTCCCATTTCTTAAGCTATGGAAAATTTTAAAGAAAGAAATAATTCTTTGCTAAAATATGGAAATATTAAAAAACAAAGTTTTTTGTTTTTGTTTTTTATTTAAATGTTGATCGCAACAGACTGGAAATTAAGGCTTATAGATACACAAGGCATAGATTCATAACTTCATTACCGTACTATACTCAATCTTTCTCTCTTGAATCCAAAATCTTTTCGTAGATTGTTTCTAAAGAAAATCGTCCCACGAAGAAGATGTCGATGAAGACTGCTTTGAATAGCTCCGATGGTGAATCGTTTGAGATCGAAGAAGCCATCGAACACCAATCTTCGACAATAACTCACTCGAGTTTCACGACTTCTGTAAGCAAAACACTCACTTTGCAATTTGATTCTCATATCAAGAAACCCTCTCTAAAATACAACATCGATAAAGAAAGCGAGTTAGGTTATGTTTGTCTCTGAATTTCTAATGTCTTAGCACACAATGTATCAGAGTTTAACCGAAATATAAAATGTCACATAGTTCCTTTTAAAAAGGGGTGTGTTTGGACACAGCCTCGTGAATTCTTTCTATCTTATGAGCTCTTTACTAGCAAGACACTTGTTAAACTGACATTAGAAACACGAATCACTATTGGGGAGCTTCCTCAAGCTGTGTTTCTTCGAGTTCTTAAGACTCTCGCCATCGACATAGTCTATTTTTAATGGTATGTTTCAAATTTTCATCTTATTATCTTACATTTTAGTGAGATAATTCAATATCTTTTTAGTGAAATATTATATCTTCTTTCTTTTTATATCTCTACTCTCTTAACAATTGTTTGATTTTTTTTTTATCTTTTGATGTCGTTTATCTATAAGTTTATTCATTTATTTTTTATATTTATATTCATTTTACATATTTAAAATTTTGAAATTGAATATGTAAACATTTATCGTTATCATAAGCTTATAATATTTTTCAAATAAAATATATTTATTGTTGTAATTTGTATTTACAATACTAAAATACTAAAATATTTTTGAATGTATGACTTTTAGTCATTTCTTTATTTACTTCGATGCCTGACTAGAAAACAAGGATTCTCGGTTCGTTTGTTATTTAACTAGAAATTTTAGTAGTTATAAGTAATCTATATATTATTTAAGAAGTGCAAAAGCTTATGTGGCAGTTCGAGGAGCCATCTCAAGAGGGTACTTAATTGTATTTATTTAATGATACCCTTAATATTTTTACTAATTAAATTATGTTCTATCAACTTTTGGGATCTGTTTTTTGTGACCCATTTATTTTATTGGTCTATTTATTTGTATCCGTTGTTTTAAAACCCTAGATGTTATTTTTTTTATCGTCTATTATAAATACACTATATATTNTTTTGTTCTATTGTATGTCATAATTTTTTGTTCGCCTCCATCGCCTTATTTTTGGTTTCTTCAATTTCTTTTTTGTTCATCTCTCATATGCTATATTCGTATATAATGGTTGACTGTTAATGTTTCTTCTATGTAGGTTCACCGTGGTCATATGTAACAAATTTTNTTTTCNTTTTATAATATATCATTGTAGTCTTTTTTGTTGTATATATTAACGATTTTTTTTAGATCTTTCGTTATGTATTCATGTTCGACTNTATTCTATTACGAGTTCTCATTCTAGTACAACCGTTTAACCTGTGAGGATTGACTTTGTTCGACCTCTATCATCTCCGTTTCATCGAACATGTTTG